GAATCATTCAATAAATGATGAATTTTTAACACTGGCGGAAAATTACATTTCTTCAATTCCAAGGACATGAAAACACTGAAAAGTCTGTTAGTGTTTGAAGCTGTCAAAGTTGGACAACTGGAGGGCCGGTTTTTCGTTTATTTACTTAGTTTATTTTAATTTTCGTTTTTTCTAGTAACTCCAAGTGTTGCGTTCTTTCAGACTCATTTGAAACATTGCAGTGATTCTGGCATGCAAAGTTGTCCAGCTAAAAATAACAGGCTAAAATGTTATCCATTAAAAAGTTGTTAAATTATATCACTGTTAAAAGTTCTAAAATTATTACATTTGGCGCGGCTTTCTAGCGTTGTTTTGAGCTAACGTCGCGCCGTCGTTTTATCGTTTCATGCAATTTTTATGGATCACAATTATTTCAGATTTCCATACTCTCCAACCAGTCTAGAACCTAAATCAACCTAAATCTTTGTTCATAACAAAGTTATCTACCAGGCTATAAATTTGTTATTCAAATTCATTAAAAGCGAGCCTTTGAAAGGAAAATAACCAGCTCTCAATTTCCTTTTTACGAATAGTTAAATATAACACCAATACAACGAACAATAAAACTATCCAAACGTAACCTTTATTTAAAAACATAAACTTAACTGTAAAGATGACACATTTTTTAGACCACACGGAAAATAAAACTACACTTGTTTTCACTAAAATAACAAAGAAAATGGTGTAAAACAGAAAACACGAAAATAAAACAACGAAGAGGTTTGGCTGAGAAACTTAGCCACATAATTCTCTCACACTTTTCTCTAAAGGCTTGTTTGGCGTGACGCTTCTTTTCTCGTAAGATATCGTGCTGTTTCGCTTGTAATCGTATTGTTTTCCAGCGTCAAGAGCTTCTTGTCTCGTGGATCGAAACTTCACACCCAGTTGCAATACAGGTATCACTGTTGTATTACACTCCAAACACGTGAAACCATCAACGATTTTAAAACGTCTTTGTGTCGTGGTGGTGTTAAGTTTGAATGCTAGCCTTTGTTCGGAAGTCCGGCATTGTGTTTAACAGCGTGAAAATGTTTCGCTCAATTGGTTTAAGTGATTTATGAGCGACCTTCTCACAGAACTCCTTACCCTGTGTGAAAACCGTAAGCGATATCTCACTGTTGAAATTTATCTGTGATTATTCTATCTGTTTGCACAATCAGAAAACTCAAGTTGAAACAGTAAACAGAAAGATACCCACTTCACCAAGCTCAACATTTTCAGCGAAGTCATCGTGCATCCGGCTTTTGTGTAAATGGCAAAATTACAGGGTTGTCTGCGAGAAAGTGGTGCAGGCATTGTTCTAATAATAGCAAACAAAGACACTCGACAATCAACAACATTTGGTTTTATTGAACGTTCGATTGTTCGGAGTCACTATGATAACAAATTAACTCCCACGGGAAATTCTATTCCATTTTCATAATCAGCGAGGAAGGAAAAGTTCAAGGAAAAATGGAATAAAGAAGGAACAGACTATCGCAATATAGATCTCATTACAAACTGGACTTTTTTTTCTTTCATAAGGAGGCAAACTAGGGCTTTCGCTTCTTAAAAATATATTTGAAAAACGTGAATTAAAATAATAAAAGTCCACGCAAAACTCTATATTCTCTTATCGACTATTTTTTTTTTGAATTTCAAAAATATTACATTTTTCCATGATGTGATTATTTATGAGGCCTTGGTTAGAAATCACGTGCATGATGCAAGACTCGGTGACGAGGGCGGATTTGAATTGCGGGGGTCCTGGGTTCCAAACATTTCTGCGTTTAAGTAATTAACCTGTTCGAGGGCCACGTTAATAGAAAAAGACAGCTGATGGTCTAAGACGCCACCCTCTCACAGGGCGAAGGGGAAGGCAATCACGACAAAGATAAGCCTAACTTCTTTTTCTTCAGAATATATTCTGAGCTTTTTACTCCCTCTCTTTGCCTTGAAGCGTTTTAATTCGATAACTAGCAAATCGATCCAGACTAACTTGCAGAGTTTCTTAAAAAGCGCCCTTTTGTATGTAGGTGAGCCTCTATAGTTCAACTGCGCCAACTAAAGCCGAGCAGCTAAACAGCAACATTCAATGACTAAGTACGAGAGCGTATGTACTGAGTAAAATTCTCAAGTCTAAAAAAAGTTCTTGCCAACAATTGAAACATCTCTCCAGACAGTTTTACATTATTCATTCATGGCCTTAGTAGCCCGGCTATTTACATTTGCTCGAAGAAAACATCGCCCCGAAATGTTGAAATTTATTATCAGGTTCAAGCCAAGTAAATTGTTTTCCTTTTAACTTTTTCAGTGGAAAGTTATTTTCACTCTGTACGCCGGAGTTTCACCTGCTTTAATGCGGATACGTGAAGCTCGTACTCATTTTGCCATTTTATGTTCATCACATCAGTGACTTAACAAGCAAAGTTAAGTATAAGCGCCTTTTAGCTTAATGGATCTATGAAATATTTACTTCATAATGTAATTTTCAAAACCTTGATAATAGTTTTGTTGTATAAGATTATTCAGATTGCTCGTTCTTCCATTTTTAAGCCCGATTCACCGTCGCAGGTTGAATTAGTTAAAATACCGCTCGTTTATAAATTTCTGGTGTAGTTTCCCCCGGTACTATAATTGACTTTTATTACAACATGGTTTTGAGATTACTACGAAGCTGTCGAAAAGCACTTAAACCTCTCCCCCATTCCTCCTTCTGTGACATGACTTGAGACTTCGGGTCTCAAGTTACTAAAACCCCTCCGTACGTAGCACACTTCGCCTTACCTTTGGTTTTTGTGTGTTCAGAGGCTCGTCTTTTCATGTTTGTAATAACTTCTGCCTTTCTTTGGAAAATGTAATGCCGACTCACTTTGCAATGGAAGAGAGATTTTTAGTTCGTAAACTGTCAAAAACTTTATCTTCGAAGAGTCATTTTAGCGCTTTCATGTTCAAAATTGTCTTTGATTCACCTCACAAAATCATTCACAATTGAATGACTTAGCCGTGCGAAATATGAGGTCGCGGTCAAACCCTGAAACGATGGATACGGACACGGTGAGGCAAGATTCCAGCAATGGAAATGCAAACAAAATAGCCCGCGCCTATATATTTAACAGTGGACAACTATAGCAGTGCGGCACAACGTACATTGTTCGTCAAGAGGGGTGAGGGGGGAGTTTCAAGAAAACTAAGGCTGTCATTTCACCGAGTTCAAGTTTTATTTCGTTACGAGTGATCTCAGAAAGATTCACGCCTGTTTTTTAAAGCCGCCGTTTGCGCTTGCGCTCACGTTTTATCCAATTCAAAATCTTCTCTTGGCAGAACTCACCAGCCACACCTTTGTTTCTGTCTACATGTGAGACTTTGATTATTATATTTTATTAGGAGAAAGTCGAAACGAAGGAAATCAGTGTGAAACATACTTTCAGGAACACAGCTTAGAAATAAGACAATAAGATTTCGCTTCACCATGCAACATCAATAATGTTGATGGCATCGAAAATGGCGGAAGTTGACTAGGGTCTTTTAGGTTCATGATAAGTTCGACGTTTGATTCAACTGAGTTCGTCCGACTGAATTTAGATCGATCTAAATTTGAATTAAGTTCCACGTTTGACCCATCGGTCCAGCTTTACCCGTTTGGATGCAATTTAGTTCGTCTTATTTGAAGTTCGTCGTTTTATCCGGGCCTAAAACATTTCTCGTCCATTTTAGGTTCTGTATTAGACAAAAAAGATTAACGAAGAGAAAAATATATACATTGTTGTCCATAAAACGTTAAATTCATCTCAACTGACAACTGGAAAGGACAGATGCCAAAAAGGGACGTCGCTAGCTCATATAAACAAATGTTTCTTTATTATTTTCAAAAAATAAAAAATACTTTTTTTATAAATTATTTGTTTGATTAAAATTAAATAAATACTTTACTGTATAATCTTACTTGATATCATGAGAAGTTTCAAGCCACAAATCTACGAGTTCTATGTTAATGTATGACTGAAAGTAGACAAAAGAAACTTAAAAATTCGATATAAAATAAATTTGATGTAATACATTTATCCTTGTGGTCATAAATTGTTATATTATAGACCTTGTCGCGGTTTCGGGCACCATATCTGGTACTTTATAGTTCACCACTAAACGTTGTCCGATTCTCACTGGCTTAAACTGATCGCGTGACGCGACAGTGCTCATCGGCGCGGAGAGACACTACACTTCCCGTATGAGGAAAATACCCGGATGGATATTACTCGTCCATGAAAATTTTTCTGTAAACAAGCGGGCTGATGGAAAAAATTAAAAGATTTATTGATTTGCATTAAGTGGGTTTTTGTCTGTTTTCTTTTTCAAATTTTACATTTGGCTTTCACGGCTTTCATCTAAGGAAGTTAAAATAATTTAATATGATTTATGAACTGGCGCGCGAAAGAAAATTTAGTGGTGAACATTAAAGACATTACAGTGTTTACTTTATTGTTTAAAAAATGTTGGAAGTTCCAAAATAGTATAAATTAGTAGCTAGTTGTAAAATCGTACCGAATAAAAGGATAAGTAACAAATACGTACATATCCTGTTAACTATTACTAAATCAAATTTCTTCATCTAGCAAGCTCTACAGATCCAAGTCCTGTTCGATGTCTTCAAGATCTTCATCCGAGTCTGAGACAACTAAAAAGGAAAGAAATATGACTGAATTGAATTACAGAGAATGGAACCGAATGACAATATGAGTAATGAATAAGGAATTTACTGAATAACTGTTGTTGCTAAGCAACATGATAGATGATAGTCATTAACATTATCATAAGCTCAAATTCAGAATGTACTTTTAAACTGGGAGGTAGTGGTTTGATAGTCATGAAATTAAGGGCGTATTTCATAGAAGAAATACCATGCATCGGTATACATGTGCACATGCTCGCCGTGTTCGTAAATGACAGTTACTGATTCTTAGAGTGTTAAATGGTTTCCCGAAAGAAGAAAACAAAAGCATTTCAGTTTTTCTCACCTGTGGACATAACATCTATTTCTCCAAGTACCAATTGAAGTTGGTTTACTGTTTCTATCGAGTCTCGTCGAGGTCCTAGAAGAAAAAAAAACACTCACGATAAGAGTCATAACACATGAAGCAGTTTAAAAGAAACCAAGGAAGGCGTATTACCTTGTCTATTTTCCTCAGCACTTGGAGTCCTCGAGTCTTTATGGCTCACACTTTGTCGCCGTACTTTTATTTCTGGTAACTTAATTTTATTTTTTGTCCCAACATTTATCATTTTGTCTACCAACGTAGCTCTTTTCATGGCATTTCTCCAAATGACTCGTAACTTTTGTTTAGCGTGATGCGTGACTCCAGATTGCGTGTCTTCTTGTCCATCCTCGGGCAGACCATACGCGTGGCGTGACACTCTGGGACATTCTAATGCATTAATACTCACGTAAGATCTTCTGTGACGCCGTTCTTTGTCTTTAGAAAACCTGTCTCTTAACCGTTTAAGTTCTGATCTGTTCCTTGTGTCCTCTTCTTGTCTTCTTTTATACTCTCTCAAGCTGCAGTCTATTTCAGAGTGCAGAGTCTTAGTTTGCAGTGAGTCAATACTGTTTTTTAATCTTTGAGCTCTCATAGTTCTATCGGTAGAATTGGCATAGATTCCTTTGAGCCGCTTAAACAACATCGCTTCTTTTTCATTCATTGCGACAACTTCAGTTTTCTTGCGGGCAGACGTCAAGCCAGTGTTTGTCAAGGGACTTCGTCCTTTGGTTGTACAACCTTTTGAGTGGACATTTGTTTGTTGTGCACGAACTCCGGCCCAGCTCTTGGCCCAAGATGGCTGTTCTTTTTCGCTTACGTCGGTTCTAATCCCCACCTTTCTGTTTCCTGGACGAGTCTGGTCTTTGATCGGTGGAAGATTTTTAAGACGAATGGATTCCGAGGTGGACACCGCTCGTCTGTTATTAATACCCATTTCTAAAGTGGAAACTGTAAAGTAGAAATTTTACTTAGTTGCATGGCTATGAAAGGTAGAGACCACGAGAACCCGGGGGAGGACTCCCAGTTAAAAAGGACAGGCGTATTCGTCGAAAATTTTTTAAAAGAATCCCCAAGAGGTACCAAGATCCTGTTTTGTGGGCGTGGCTTGAAGGTTTTTTCACCCTTAAGAGGTACCAACTCTAAAACAACACAATATCTCCTGTCATATTTTTTTTTTCAGCTCAATACTCCAAAAGGTACTGCAAAAGCTCCTGCTTTGGACCTTTTGACGTTCAACACCATAGAGTTACCAAAACCGCTTTGTCGATCCCTAAAAGGCACGACGAGCACCCCAGTCCTTTTTGCATGTCCCCCCGGACACGAGAAGCGTCCCCCTTTTCCTTAAAAGGAACTAACGATAAACAGGGGCTGTACGCTCCTCGTTTAATAATAGTCAATACCACAACAAAATAACAGTATTCTGGTAAAACAGACTCTCACTTCGCCTGCTCAATTTAGCCCCATTGAGACTGGTGTCTGAGATTCAAGATAAAAAAAATTGTCTATCGATGGCAGAGCTATACAGTTATACGTGTAGCCTCTCTGGTTGTCTTTTATTTGCGCGCAGAAATTCAAATCAACCAATCAGAGGCATGGATCTCTATAGAGTTACGTCATCAGTATGGAATTCTTCGGGTCCAGTCTCACACTCTCTCGAGTGGGGAAAACTGAAGCGCGCAGGCGTTAAGTCAGGCCTTTGTTTCTTTAGTTTCAAGAGGCCAGTCCAGTCTCTGGTTCGGGGAAGCGAGATACTTGTAAGTACCAGCCTCAGAGAGCCATTCATTTAATTCACACATATTCCTTCTACAGAATAGGGTAATGAGTTCTAAATGCTGATAGCTATTAATGAGCGGGCGCTGGAAATGCCTGTACTACGAAACTAAACTAACCAAACTAAACTGGACTCACGTTAACCTTGTTCCTAGGCTGGAAGGAGAGGCAAACATAAAAAAAACCCTGGGAACAAGCTTGAAATAAACTAAATTAAACTTAACTAAGCTAAACTAAACTTCATTCCTTTTAGCCAAAAGGTTGTTTAATGCCAAATGTTATTAAAAGACACACGTAGTTTCATATTGAGGGGAGCTTCATGGCAACTTTGGTTATTAGGGAAAAAGAATGTTTACTTACGTCCAGCGGGTCTGGAGTTGAGCCAGCTTCTAGTGGCAGTGCCCGGCACGACCACGGGACGGTGCCTCTGAAACGACATCCAGGCTTCCCACGTTTCCTTCACCTGGTAGTTTTGGCAACTAAACGAGAGACAATTGTACGATAATCAGCTATTGGATGGAAAAGAATCTTACTGAGACTTGTTAAAAGACTTATTACATTTGAGATGGCTTAGCTATAACAACCTTCGGACGACTGAGGATAATAAGAAAATGTCGGGCGAAACAGTTGGGATGACCAAGTTTTTGGTCTGGTCTTATTCGGCCCTCTCCATCCTCACTCATACATCTTTTTCCATTTTAGCTTATGTTATTACCTCTACTTGCAATGATTTAGTTTTCAGTAGAGCCGAAAAAAAAGTAACAAAACCTGGGAGATATTAAAAAAAAACAGCGCTTGTCTTGTGTCTTGTCCAAAAGCAACCGATCCGAATTCTTCCAAAAGTAACGGCGTGGCATGAAAGCACGTCAATAATTTCAAACACTCTGACGCGAGCTTCAAGCTCGAAGCTCGTGCAAGATTAACTTAATAAAATAAAATGTCGAGCAACAGTTTGGTATTAATTTGTTTGTTTGCTTGTTTTATTCAGTAACAGTGTTTTTCCTGTTGAAGGTAAATTTGCACTCGACATACCGCGAAAACTGACTCGATCTATGTCCTGAAGAATGACGTCAATTAAATTGTGATCTACATCCACTTTCTTCCCAGAATGTGAACAGCACAAAGCTACGTGTACAGGTTATGAGAATACAGCAGCCGATCACTAAGGGCCAATTCTCTCGTTTATCCCAGGAAAGAATTGCATAACCCATGGCATGTTCGGACACATTTCCTGCAAATATTAATCACCGCCGATATTGCAAGCTTTTCACGAAGTACCCCGAACTTTGACCTTATTTCAACGTTATTTTCACAATGAAATGTGATAACATCCAAGTTATTCTTTCTCAATTTGTCCGCCGCAGGGTGTTAACTCAATCGAAACCACAATTACACTTCCTTGTAGTGTCAATAATAAAAATATTCACTTCTATGTGATATATACCAGTTAGTTACTTCACCTGTATTGTCAGTTTAGGGGATATTCCATATACCACTACGATCTTTAAGGCCTTCGTTTTGAAGGTATTAGCCTTTCTCCTACACGTAAAAACTAACTGGCTCCCGAGAATGTGTAAAATAAATGAGCGAACACTGGAATGGAGTAAATCGATTGGCACAGGAAATGCTCTGTAGCCTCTTCGTCGAGCGTACATTTCTATCTACTATATATTTTCTAAAATATACACTGAAGAACAGAAACTAGTGTAATTTAACAGATCTACCGAAATAATAGATTCCAAACATTGTAGCTATCGTTTTAAGCTCAGTTTAAGTCTTAAAGATAGCCACCTATATCAAACGATAAGTCAGGAAAAGTTTGAGAAAGAAGAAATTTGCATATGTCTGCTTTCTAGAACGTTAGCGATGCTGCTTTTCAGGGTTAAATAGGTTTTAAGAAAGACACGTTAAGGAAAAGAAATTCTTAAAAAAAAAGTAAAGAGAGCGATCATTTCATTTCCATCAATTTTCCGACAAACACACTAACACACTCATCTCACAATCGGAGACGAATGTTTGAATATTGTCGTCTTAGCATGTATTTGGTGCTCTAATGAAAGTTTAGTGCTTTTTGTTCTGAGTGAATGCAATTTTGCATGCAGTAATATTCTCCATACCTAGTAAAGCTGGCTGATATCTCCCAGCAAGGTTTCATAGCTGACTTTTCCCCACATTCTAACTGATAGTCCAACTTTAATGTGTAGAAATATCAACAACGAAATCAACACAATACTATATCTACGTCCTCGCATTGTTAGTAAATAATTTACCGTAATGTCTAGCTATGTGTTTAGTATTATTTGTTGATATTCCCAGAAGAACAAACATTCTTGGACCACTTCAAAGCAGAAAGCAAAGAGAAAGAATTTTCCTCAGTCTGAGAACTGCTTAAATCCGCGAGGAATTGTTATGATTTTAGCTCAAAGACTGAAGCAACACTCGCTTGCTTGGATAATCATTTTGCAGTTCAATAATCTCAAATTATTTCAAGGATTTACCTTTGAAGATTTCACGAATCATGGTGAACAAACTGCCTCATTCCGAGCTTTCCAGATAACTTCAAACTCCAATCATATGAAGGCCAGCTTCCTCAGAGCAGCTCGCTGCGTTCTTAGTTTTCGCGATGAGCCAAAAGAAACCCTGTTGTCTTTAATACTAAATATACATCACTTGTATTTATTCAGCAATAAGTGTTTGGGATCCACGCAACGGGGTCAAACAAAGAAATTTCACCGAGGCATGCAAATTAGGAATTATTACAAACAATTACAATCACTATACGTGTACCATGATTGACCCGTGATTGTCTTGCCGCTTGGCTTGACACAGCGCTCATAAAAGCACCAATATCATAGTTCCCAAAAGGATTCATCGCTAAAAGAGCACGGCCTGATGAGTTATATGGCGTAATTTTAACAAGAAAGACCGAAGTCTCGCGTTTTATTTTCGTGCGACAACTTTTTTAATTTCATAACAGCGTTTAGGCATATCTACCCCAGTATCAGGCTGTAGCCATGCTATTTCAGGCCCAGTTTTAACGTTGCTGCCCAATATACGCCATATCGTATTATTTTAAACAGGTTTTATCGAGTAATATATACCATCCACTGTATATTGTTTCTCAGTCAGAAATAGAACTGCAATTTGGCTTACACGGTGACGTCAAAAGGCGTTCTTGTCGATTAACTTGCTATTTTTGACATAGCCGGGGCCAACAACTTTTCACCTAAGTTCTTTTTCTCTCTTTCGCTTTTTGTTTAGAGCAAAATACACCTAAACAAGAAAAACTCAAAGCCGTGATTGGTGAAATCGAGTAACCCAATTCTGGAAATCTGAAGGTTTCTGTTGGCTTCCTCAAAATTGCCTGTCTCAATGTTTTCACCACCGTGTAAATTTTAATTTTCGGAAGTTGACAGAAAAGCTAACGAATTAATCTGTCCGGATTTGCTTGCGACGGCTCATATGGGTTTTCAGCTGCGAATTACCTTCCTAATGTTAGCTAACCAATAATCTTTCCTCCTCGAAATATCTTGTTGACAACTACCACAATGGCCAAGATAAAATACGGTCAAAGGTTCTTATGAAGTTTAATGCGAATACAGTTGCATAATTGCATACAGTCTGCCGACAGAGTAAAGCCGGATGTGTATTGAGCCACATTAAAAGCACGAAAGATCTCTCTTTTTTTCCAATTTTAGAGGGAATGGATTAATATAACCATCGGAGAAGTAACACTGAGGTGCAACTAGATCTCGCTCGAAATATAAATTTTCCTTACCCTGGGCTCCTGTCGCCACTGATTACCTTAGGTTTCTTCTACTATCAGGTCTGAGAAATTGGAAGTTTATCAAGACAATATCTCCTTCAGAACTCATTTATCTGTCTGCTCATTGTAAAGAGAGAATGGCTGTCGATCATGTTAGCTAAAATAATTGGTTAGCTTATAGCAGAACACACAATGAATTTAAAACGCTTGTTTCATTAAGCGTTTATTGAAATTATTGTAATGAAGTATTTTGCAAAACAAGGGTTTCTTTTTATACCGTAAGACGTTTGTTCTCAACACTGCTCAAATCGGAGGCATGTGGAGAGTCTGGTAAGACCTGGTACCCAACGCCGCTACTGAAACATGACAAACTCGATTCCTCTAAAAAACAAAGTTATCAACTTGCAAAGAGATAAAAGTCCACTGCAATTATTTGATTGGTAATACCACATTACTACCTTCGAGGTTGAGAAATGGAAAAAAGTCGCCGAATTCTTGGAAAACTTATAATCCTGTGGAACAGATCCTGCAAGAATGAAATTTTGGTATCTCCGTGGCAAGAATACAGTTATGTTGTAGAATTCTAACTGATCCGTTTTGCTGGTAGTAAAACTTCGCTCACAGGCTGCTAAATCTGCTTACCTTTGATGGCAAACTATTCGCATGGCAAAGGCCCCTGTTTTCTTCTCCATTTATACATATAAATCATTTTACAAAACATCTTAGCTAAACTGCGTACACAACCGGGACTTGCAATCGGATTAACACTTTCAATACCATTATCGGGACTTCAATGTTTGTGTCTGGGGGTTTTTGATGGGGATTAACGTAGAAACGTCGTGACTGGTTTATTATTTTGATTTGGTATTAAAGATCACGATGTTGTGTCACTATATTTTCTTATTGGATCTCTTTATTTCTCTCTTAGCACAAGAGAAGTCACTGTACAAGTTAGTTGTCATAACACGCATGATCTTTGTCCAATCCTCTTTGAAAAACAATTTTCTTTTTACTAGCTCCTGCACAAGACAGACTTCGCAATTTTGTCGATGCAACTTAATAAGTATTTGACATTTAAGCCTCCTAACTTCTCTTCATGTTTGAATAAATGCCGGAATTTTCCAACATGAAAGGATTTTGAAAGAGCTCTTTACAACGAATTTTATAGGGATTATCCGAAATGACCTCTGCCAAAAGTTCAAAATGAGCTGACAACAGTGATTAGGAGGATATCTTGCTCAGATTACTGAAAAAGACCGACAAAAATTCCGGAAATTTAAGTTGGAAATCTTTAACGGTTCGGTTGTAGTGCTTCGAGATATTTCGTGTTTTCCTCTCCAGTTCCCAGTCCTTTGTGAATGACCACATGTTTGAAGCCGGCACAAATTGTAAAGCGGATGAACGAAGCATTTTTCAAAGGGAAGTCTTTGCTTCCGGCACTGATAAGCGGCCGTTATATCAAGAACGAAAAACATTTGTTTCCTATTTCCGTAGCTTCCTTTCATACTCGTTTCCGAGAAAAGGGTACACTATACTAACATATTTCGGAATTTGTTAAGAAAATTCGTTGTAACAGATTCGTCGATTTTCTGTGTCAGTTAAAACAGCAATCTCAGAAAAAGTTGAACTTTCAAACGATTTCCAATGAAGTCTCTGCGGTGTCACAGTGCATCATTGGGCTACGAAAAAGTTTGATGGAACTATTGATACGAAGCGTGGCTAAAATGTTATTTCAAGCTGTTATTTCACCTCTACAGATCACATATAACCCGCGCGTGAAATCTCAAGTAAGGTTGTAGAAACAAACACGCTTTGTCAACAAAGGCTGTAGCATTAACCTCAGAACGCAAGGGGTTTCTCTTATCATGGGCAAAAGAAGGTCTGCGCTCTCTGGCTATGCTCGCATCAGTAAAAACTCGTGAGATCTTGAATATAGGAAAAACTGCGATCGATAAGCGATATGTGCACTTATGAGGGAATATCGATGGCATCTGTTCTGAGAGTCGATCTTTGTGGATAGAAACAATCAAAGAAGTACAGCTTTTGTTTTGAAACAATAACGGGTACATGTAAATCACATCTGTTGTGAATGACTTGCGAGAACGCACAACACAGCCGACAGATCATGACTTCTGCGAAGAGTACTGTTGACAATTTCAGTTCGTCGCAAAATCTGGCAAGCAATTATCAAAGCAATAATCTGAAGCAGGGTTGTGTTAGGTCAACATAATCACTTAACGATGTCTGAAAATTCAGTCAACTGAAAAAGATACGATACTCATACATACATTTCAATCAGACGGGATCGTAAATTGCAACGCTGAAAGAGCACCGTGAATTCGACAATATCAACGTTTTATTATCCAACTGCAGCGAATACCGTCCAAATTTATAGTTATTTATTTTATTTGTACAGTAGAAAACCTGTTTGCCGGACAGGTCGGGGCGCGCATGCAAAACTGTCACACTCTCCCTCTTTCCATTGATAAATTTATTGACTACAGCAGTAGGATAATAAATCTCTTTTTAGACGTTTTAGTGTGTACTATCGCTTTATATTTTTACTCGTTGTTTGTATTTTGACGAGCCCGTACAACTCGTAAAATACACAGCGATACTACACACCAAAACATCTAATAAGATATATATATTTGGAGGAAAACAATCAACTTACTTTGAATGCACTGAGATGGACACATAAGTTCTTGGTCTTTGACTTTCTGTTGGCATTTTTTTCTCAGTGTATCGGAAGCTGGATTCGACTCAGTCTACCAAATCACCTTGAAACTATGATTGGAACTTACGAAGCCCATTATTTCAAGACTACAGCTGCTAGTTTCAGGCGAAAGAAAGAAGAGCCACTACGCGAGTTTTCCACGTTTCTGTCAATGCTAATGAAACAGGACACGGTGCTTGAGTGGAATACAGATCAACTGGCACGTTTTACCTGACTGCGTTCATACCACAAGTGAATCAAATGATTCACATTTCCCCTTGGGGAAGTATGTACTTGTAATTGTGTCCTCTGTTGCTAGGTAACGCCTAAATGCAACCTAGCAACGAACAAAATCCCAGGGGTACCAACGCTATTTAGAACTTGAATGCACAGTTTTGGGCTGCCTCAGTGCCCCGTGATTGTAAAAAATAAAGCAAAACTGCATAGTCTTTGGTGAAATCGCGTGATTAAATATTCGAGGTCGTGACACCGCCTCGTTTTTAATAAACACCCAGCCTTGATGTGTAAAATTGATTTTCCGGTCTACTGTAGCTTTCTTGGGCAAGTAATTACCAAGCCATTTTATTGACAAACTCGAAAGTACCTTACAAAACTCATGACAGCTTTGTTTGTGTTTCTTTTTTCTTGAACGTTTGAGCAATTAACGAACCAAGCCTTACAATAGTGAACAACGAAAGAACACAAAGAGTTTTCATTTGAACAGACAGATGGCGGAACGACATTATTTTTTAATCAGAGAGGTTCGTGCGCCAAAAAGACTAATCAGGGCTAATTGCACATGAGATTCCTCTCTGGCGTGAGAGATAAGACGACGCTAAGTCAACGTTACTAGAGTTTCATTAGACTGTAATACGAACGTTTTGAAACAGTGTAGTAAGCAAACAAACGACTTAACGATGAAAAAAATCAAGGGCAAACATGCCAAGGGTTGTTTTGAAACCGTAAATTGCAAAGGCGTCATTCTGGTAAAAGAGGAGGAGATTACATGGATTAGCGCTAATGCTCACGACAGACCGAGAGACCGATAAAATGTAAGAGATTTTTTCGCCGTCCTTCTCGCACGATACATGTTTTTTGAACAAAAAAAAAGCCGGACCTGAAAAAAAATCGTCAAGGAGCAGAGTTAAAGCGCGGTTCGCTCTCCACCGCGCTGCAAACAAATTCAGGTCTAGCTGCAAATCGCATTGCAAAAGCCATTTCAGTGCGAAGGGTATAACCTAGCGTCAAAACGGGCATTGTTCAGACGGAAGAAGAGACAAATCGGAAGTAAAAGAACACGCGAGCGTTTACTTAAGGAATGGTTGACAAGGTTTTTGTAAATGACTGCCTAGATTACATGAAATTCCATCTTATTCTCAAGATGACAGCTTACCGCAGATTTAATGTACGTTTCATTCTTGCACGCATACAAGCTGCGGAAGGAATCTGAACAGAAGAAACACAGTGTTCATGATGAGGCTCGTTAGGTTAGCCAGGGCAGTCGAACCAGGCGTAAAACGGGGAAGACGGGAGGAAGATCGGAAATGGAACTGAGAGGGTGGGGAGACGGGGAGGGAAAACGGGGGTCAAAGGAGGGGGCTGGGAGACGGGGGTGGAAGGAGGGGCCCATTCCATGTTTACACCTACAACGCTGGTTACGTCAGATTGAAACGCGAGGGTGTTAGCCTATACACTCTATGCTGGTACTTGTTTTCTTTTAGCGAAATCTTAGTGTGCTGGGTTGATATAGTACAAAAGTACAAAAAGAATAAAGGAAGACAAGTCATTGAATTTTACAGAACGTTGTTATAAAACTTCTCAGTTACGAAACAAGAGGCAGATTGCTTACAAAGAATTCTGAAGTATGGACAAAGATTTCACGATGTCTAATTGGACGGAATAAAATGAGAAATTGACCACCCATCCCCTATCCCCTCGAAACCGGCCGTTATCAAATAATTCGCGCGAAAATCAAGTCAAATCTGGGGTTTTATTAACCAAGAAAGCCTGTCAACTCGATGCGTAATAATGTTTCCATAAATGTGCCGACAACTTGCTTTGAAGCGAAAACGCACCGAATGACATATTAAAAACAGTATGAAGATAGCTGGCTACGATTTTAAAAATCTAAATTCTTAAGTGGCAAGGGGGAAATGTACCTCATTTGCTTGTCCTCAATTGTGTCATTTAATTGAAGTCATGGCTCTGTTCCATGCGGGCAATACTTTACAAACAGACACTAATGAACAAATGAAATGGACATAAGTCAATATCAGGTACTACTGTACAAAGATGGTGAAACCATTTGTGTTTTAAAATTTCAAATATCTAAACACGCCTGCGACCACTGAAAAACGCAGTGTTACAAATTAGCTAAATTTAAAGTTCCGATAGAATAAAACTCATTCCTTTTATCCCTAACAATGAAGTTTTCCTACCATCTGAAAATACCTGCTGTCGTGTAAAAGGGCCCGGATTTATTGGAGATTAATGACTATGTAGGACCTCGTAAACAGTAGTAATCGCATAGATCAATAAATGCACAAATTGTGTCTTAAATCTGTACTTATAAAGGACCTCTTTGAGTGTGTGAGGTTAACAAGATTTAGCTGCATACCCCAAGAGAAAAATCAACGTGATTCTATCGCTAAAGGGATAGGGGAAAGAAGGTTGTGAAATAGGTACAAAACGTTAATTTCTGGGAAACCCGTGACATGGCGGTATAGGAAGACTGGAACGCAGCCAGAAATAACGCCGAATGTTCTTCTGGGACTTTTGTTCCATTCCCAAAAGTTTGAATTTTTACATTTGCTTCTCGATACTCTTTCAAACAGTCGCCGTGATTCATTCGACAGCACACCATCAAATGAAACAAGGGAGAATTTTTTTTCCGCGAGAAAGCGTCGTTCAGCGTCGGCCGGGCGGGCATGTGACAAGAAATTTTTCAAAAACATTGAAGTTGATATAAAAGGTCTCCGACACAATCAACACTCTCAGGTAAAACTGCGTAAAAACAAAATAACAAGGTCCCTGATGGAAAGTGTTTGGGGTGAAATTCTAACTGTCTTGAGTGTTGGACACAAAACCTTTATCAGAAGAAATATTTCCCAAAATGTCTGACCAGAATTTCGCTTCATCAATCCAGGGAGTGAAATTCAGTACGTCCAGTAATTAATTACATCCAAGATGAGTGGCCATCAAACAGATTGTTTGATTGACAAAGTTTATGTCAAGATATACGTGCAGTTAATGGAGGAAAACTTCAATGACTGGTGAAATGGGCTACATTTTCCTTCTGATAAAAAGTCTACGATAAATTGCGAAATAAAATACGCTATTAAAGCAGTGCACAAATGTCACGAAAGAAAATGGTATTGTACATCTTTGTTTGATTGCCTGGTTCTTCCGTCACAGCGCGCGTCTGAAAACAATTCCCAGTTTTGTTTGGTTACAACATTAAACACTGTTTTACAAGTAACAACAGATAGCCTGCGTAGCAGTCTTTTCCGTTTCCTTTCAGGCAAGCGGGAGTCGCGCGAACAGAGGTAACAAAAAAATTAGTGGCAGGAGGGAGGTTCCTAACTTTTTGCTCTCGCCCCATGCGTTCGGGCGACTTCCACTTGGCTCACGGTTTCTCCCGCTTAGAGGAAACGGAAAAGACTGCTACGCAGGCTACACAATAGACAACAGCATAGCATTTGCATTCCACTAACAAACCTCGTTTACGTCAGTTGTTTTTGAAATATGCGTGAGACTCGAATTTACACACTGAAAAACGCAGAAAAGAAAGCAATTTGTTTTGAAAGGATCGATCATTGCGATCAGCAGAGCTTGCTGAAATTTCAAGCTTTCCGTTGAAATTTTAGGAATGCTAAAATTTGTGCAACTTACCTTAGTTAACCATTTTGAGCTTGGCAGTGTTTTCGAGATTGCACCACTCGACACATTCACTTAACTTAACTGTACTGACTGTCAAAGACGGAGCTGAATTATACCGAGTGAAATGCGCAACGTATGTACACTTACAGAACAATAGTTTTTGGAAACAGTAGGTTGCCAGGGCCATTTTGGCGGATCAACTTTCGACAATGACATTTAAATGGCATTAACTTTAATTATAATTTATGAAAGGTCAAATGTAGACCATAGGTGAATCGATCATCTCCTTGTAGAGAGCAATTTACGTCACATCCAGTGGCGCAAAGCTCAGCTGAAGACGCACCCGGGAGGTGCGAGTACAAACAAGAGTCTCGTGCCCAGGTCCCCATCTCGACCTCCTTCGAGGCCTCGAAGCGACCTCGTTACCAGTGAGTTTCATTCCTTGGGGCTCTATTAAAAGGCAAGCCCTTGCATGTGAAGAATACCTGAATCCATGGGATTGGAAATTTCCCCTTTTAAGAGGCATGTCCATAGCAAATCCTATGATTGCAAATGTAAAGGGTCCTACGGAAGATCAACGGCGCTCAGAGCCAAAAACAAAGCTAAATGGACGCTAACGTAAAGGGGCTTTGCAGACACACCCAGTGTTCATTTTTCCACATCATCCACATAAAACTGTGCGTATCGGGAGGGCCTCGTATTAGATGCAGGTTGACTCCAAACACTTAGAGAACTTGTGAATTTTAGCAATTGGTGAGGGTTTTGTTTTTTAGGGTGAAATTTTGAAGAAGATATTGGCTTTCAAAAGGTTGCTAATTTCAAATATTAGGTGGAAATGAGACATTCAAGTCGTGTTTTGTTTTATGCTTGTCTGTTTGATATGATATGACTAGAATGTTTCCGTACAATCTCTCTGCTTTATATTATAAACTTAAACAGAATGTCATTCCTTGCATCAGGAAATATCAGTAACTTGGATCTTGCCTTAATGTAGGACAACTAGTTTCACAAACAAACATGTCACATTTAGCAAGGTCGGAGAATAAAAATTTACGAGAAGAATTGAGTAACAGAGGCAATAGCCAGCGTCAATGAGAAGTTTAATGATATATTCCAAGAAAACTCTACAAGCTACATTTGATCATTTATTTTTCAATAGACTTCGCACCTCGTGTAATATCTTCTACTTATCTTGTGACTATTAAAAAGACAATTAAATTAAACCAGGTCGCTTGTGAGTGTTCTGCCCCTCGTTGGAAATTAGGGCCGACATTATGCAATCATGAGAGCATTTACTTCATCTTCTCTTGGTTTCATTTAAATTTTCAACTCTTTAAGGTGGCTCGAAATAGGTATTTGACGCGCGTGGTTGGGTTCTAATTCTTCCCAACTGAACTAGAAAACGACACGAAGACTACACGAACGATGGGATAAAAAGTTAACAGTGGCCGCGCTGCACCGTGTTTCACTGCCGCTCGTCAATGAAATGGAGAAAAAGTCGGTCTTTGAAATTACAGGAAAATCGCTTGTAGAGGTGTTTTTCACCAAAAACGTTGCAGCTTGGTGACAACCAGCACGTGTTTGAAATAACGTAAAGAGTGGAGGTTTTGGAGGTCCAACTGATACAGCTCACCGTTGTTATAGTAGCAGATGTTCTAGAGAATATCGAGGAATCTGTGATGGCTACTCAGTAGTTTTCAGTGGAAATGTATCTGCAATATCATGATCCTAAGAAGTATTTTATGACAGGTATTGCCGGCGGTCCATGAGCCTTTATCGGGTCTTGAAACCCATCTCGAGCCACTTCAATCTAATGGAACTAAAATGCCTATTTTCTTTTAGAAGAAACCGCTTTTAATGTGGAAAAATTCTTCACGTCTTTTAAAATTTCTGTGCACAGGAACATATGTCTATTTTTCACGAGTTGTTAGTGGTGGTTGACAATTAGCCTAACGTCGACCTATCCTGTGACAAATGCCATGTTTCTTTGACAGGAAGCTGAAAATGAAATTAGCTACTGGTTGATCGAAAAAATAAATTTCTAGAGACCAACGATTAAAACCTTTGTATAGAGGCAGTTGATGGGGTATTGCTGATAGTTGACAATTGGTCTTCATTGTTACTGTCAGGTCACAAATGCCATGTTTCTTTGACTGGCAGTTCAGAATGAAATGAGCAGATGAATTAAAAATGCTATAATTTCATTCAATAACAGAGAAATGGACAGAAATGGCTGATATCTGAGATTTGAACACCCCATCTTTAACCTTCTCCCTGCTCTCCGCGCGAAATTCAATTTGGGGTGGCCAAGACCGTTTTGAACGCTACAATCGGGGAGAATTATGTTTACCTTGATTTTTTACCAGCATAATGATAACAATAATAACAACAACAACGACCTATCCGATTCCGGACATCGTGTAGCATGTTACGTCATATTAAGTTCTCCACCCAAGAATCGAGCTATTTTACTCCGCAAACCACAGTCTTGGCCAGTCACCATTTTGAATTTTGCAAGGAACCTGGTGCCAGATTCACGAACCCTGCGCAAGAAAGATTCATCCTATGTATTATTTCTGAACAACACTATAACAGTAGCCCATTATTGAGTAACAGCACTTAAAATAAGTCTTAGCTAAAAATGGCTTCGTGAATCTAGCCCCTGGAGACCAGGGATCGCATTCTTGCTTATGGTGCGTCTTACTGCTTAATCAAGCGCGCTAATCGCAACAATCAACAAAACAAGACTTTAAGCCTAAAAAGCGTGGCTAACTGGTCTTAACACTGCGGGGACTTGAGAATAAAAGCTGCAATTTGGCCCATAGTGAGGTCCCACGGGGAACCATCGCTGGTTCTCGAGGAAGACATAAAGGTAATTTTGACGCCAGAACAAAATGCACTTGCCATGCCATCAATTTGATACGCGCAATACTGGCCAGGATCTGTAATCATTTTAGACGTGGCGGTGTATCTAACCCCGGGGTAAAGAGTGATTCCTTGAGAGAAAAGCACCTCAAAAGTAAGGCCATCATCACGTATATTCATATAATGAGTGAACTTCCCGTTCCTCTCTGCGATCAAGTTGCTATTATTATACAAACGAATAAAGGCCTGCACATTAGCAGACTCGATATATCTTGGGTGGCCCACACCCCACATGCGGTAACCCAGCAGAGTGACCTCACCACTAGTCGTGAAGTCAACAGCATCCGTGTTGGGTCCGTTTGGACCTAGATATGGCTTTTGTGAAAGCCACCCGTTTCTTGATGGGATCCGATTACAGTCACAAGAGGTTTCTGAAAAATAACCATGCAAAATGTTAAAACCAAATACTGTATTTCACTATTTTGCCCCGTCATTTTTTCAGCACTACATATCCCCCCGCCCCCCGCCTCTCTCTTTCTCTCTCTTCCATCTTCCAACTTGCTACCCTCATCCCTTCCCTTTCAGATGTAATAAAAGATCTTGTTTGCTTGCACAGAAACGCAATGCGTGTTCATTTATGTATCATATTTACGTACACTTGTATGTTTTGTTCCGCTACACTATAGCAGAGTTACAGAATGCAACAAAAAAACAGCTCTTACTTTGGACAGTTAAATAGGCAGATGCCGGAGAAGACCATCCAATAGCATTGTAAGCCCTACAAGTGTACCTTCCAGCATCGGTTGGAGCACGGTGGTCCACGTTTCTAATAATGAGCGTTCTGTTGTCTTTGATCACGTACTGCACTCCTGGTTGAATGTTAGAGTCAAAATAGCCCTTTGGCCTTATCCATTTGACTTTTGGAGGTGGATTCCCAGTAACCGTGCAATTAAAAATTGCATCGTTTCGTTCATCCACAGTCTGTCGCGTTGGCGATACTTTCGCTTGCGGAGCAGACAGTGATTCTGGAAAGAAAAAAAATTCCACGTTCTCATTGTTTTATAACCTTGATTAGAGGTCCTTCAGAGCTTCTATATCAATGAAAGTAATCATTATTATCATCATCGTCATCATCATCGTAATCGTCATCATATCATTATTATTATCACCATTATTGCCACTACCTTTAAGCCCTGGCCAAACGAACTCGCAAGTAGTCGCAAATTGAACTTGCATAGAGGCTTGCGTTGGGTGGCCAAACGGACTCGCAAGTTTCCTCGCAAGTGCGCGCAACCCAAAAAAAAAACGTTATAAGACCACGTATCATGAATTTCATCAGCTGATAGGTTGCTATAAAACAATAAATGGACGTCACTAAACTTGCGTTGACTTTGGTTGGGTGGCCAAACGGTGAGAAACTTGCGTCGACTTGCGTTCAAATTTGATCTGAACCAAAGTGAGCGCAAGTCATCGCACGTCAACGCAAATGGACGCAAGGCCTGGCCAAACGGAGTCGCGTGAAGACCCAAGTTTTCAACTTGCGTCTACGACGAGTCCGTTTGGCCAGGGCCTTAGCCTTTCATAAAATACATTTTCATGGTATTGGCCATCCCCTCTGTGCTAGGATAGTTTTCTATATCCTCAATTTCCATATACGTTGTTGCGAAGAGAAAACTTGAAAAAAATCAGGCTTGACCGGGATTCGAAACAATGACCTCTGCGATACCGGTGCAGTGCTCTACCAACTGCGCTATCAAGCCAACTGGGAGCTGGTCATATTGTAAGTTCGTAATATACCAGAAAAGGATGAAGAAATAAATAAGTCGGCAAATTAAACAGTTGCGAAAAGAAAGCGCGAAAAAATTGTTTGTTTGTTTACCCCCCTTTTTTTCTTTCTTCTAGCTTTTTAAGTTTGGACACTATCATGTCGTTGTCACGTCAACTTTTCCAATTGTCCTTGATTCTGTTTTCGTACCTTTTTGGCCGATTACAGCGGTCACTAGCTCCTGCGTATACCAGCATCATTTTCGCTTACAGTCCTTTGCAACCAATATTCATTTTCATGGAAACATTCAATTCTAAGGTGGAACTCATGTTTGTGTAAGGAAGTCGCCAAACATTGAACCCGTTGAATTTTCTGTGCTATTCAGTGGTTTAATTGTCGTGCAATTATGTGTCACGAAAATTTCAATTCAACTTACCAGAGACAATAAATGACCCGAAAATATTGGTTGCAACACATTTGTACTCCCCAGCGTCAGTGCGCCATGGATATTTAATGATAAGCGCCCCGTCATCGGTCATCTGATGCTTGCCACCTGGAACAAGCTTCTTGTCGTTGTGTCGCCATTCCACGATCGGAGAAGGATTTCCACGAACCTTGCAATAAATAACCACAAAAGTAGACCCTTTATCATCTTTATGCTGTTCCACCGGTAAAATTGTCGCCTGCGGGGGCATCAACGGTGCTCCGACTCCATGTGGTTGTGCCGGCGTGCCTGCTGCTCCTGGGGCACCAGTGTCTCCCTTTTCTCCCTTCTGTCCCGGAATCCCGTCCAGACCAGATATTCCTGGAGGTCCCATGAAACCTTGACTACCCTTCTCTCCTCTTGGTCCGGTCCTTCCCAGTGGTCCCTGTGCACCAGTTGGTCCAGGAGATCCGGGGGGTCCCACAGGGCAGATCTTCCCAGTTGAGTTGCAGTACTCCATAGGAATGAGTTGCAGTTGCTTAAAGTACTTTTCAATTTCCTCAAACACATCTTCCATGGTAAAGTTCAGATCTGGAATGTCTGGTACGTCACGGTCCAAGGCTTGTCTGCGATTTCTTGGTCTGGCTGTTATTGGCAAATGAATAAGAAACTTAAATTAATCCTACTTAAAGTAATAGTTTACTGCAAAATGACAAATTCAAGCTGAAAGAGTAAATAGTTGATAGAAAAAAGAATTTTTGTTTTCTCTCCGTGTTTTCTTAAGTGTTGAAAGAATATAGTTGCAAGCAGTTTTCATATAGAGTTATGTAATCAAAAAAACGTGAAGAACACGTGATACCAGTATCACACGGTCATTCGTTGAGTTACTCTCGCCGTATGACCATTTTATCCCCTTTCCTCCTGCTCTTGATACTTGTTCAATAATTACCCTGGCGTGTTTCTGCCCTCACTTTTACTGGGCTACGGATTAATTTGATTTAAAAAAATTTAATTATTCATTTCATCGGCTTTGGGCCATATGCCCCTAGCCAATTTTTTTTTCCATATCACTCCGTGTGTGTTGATTATCGCACAGTTAACGAGTGCGGGTATTGTAATCTGATACATTGAAATAACAACATACCCATGGCCGGGGTAAAACATAACTATGTTTTAAAATCAATGCTAAGATTACTCTAAATGTATATTCCTTATGACCTAACTGAATTCATCAATGCTGGTGCTCTCCGCAATTCATGCGAACAACTATAGAGTTCCGTTGGCGGACTTGAGGTGTATGCCAGGATGGCAAGCTTATCTTTATTTCTAGTTATATCAGCGGAATATGTGATGGAGCTGATGATCGACTGGTGGATCTTTCGTGATAAAACACGACGGGCATTTGAGAACACGAGGGAAATGTAGAAAACACGAGCCGCAGTAATACACGGCTTAGGCTTCTTTATTTGTTAAGTAAAATGATCAGAAAAGTTGGTAAACATCTCCCCTCTCGCTCTGTCAGTTTGGTTGTGAAATATTTTAAACATTACGGCGCATCTCCGCCCCTCCAAAAACTCCACCCTAATTCCCGACCCCCACCCCAACCCGTCAAATCAAGTTACACATAAAAATAGAATTTCACCCGCATGCACTCGCCTAGTGGCTTGAAAACCGGAAAAATGCGAACGTTAAGCTATAGCTGAAGTATCCAGCATAATACCGGCATAATAATGCTATTTTGTCGACGTATTTAAGTGTCACTTAAACATTCGTAGCGAAATTAAATGAAGTTAAGTGACATCAGAATAAGACAAAAAAAAAACTGCCTTTACAAACAAAAGAGAAAGCCTATACTTTCCACTGTTAGAAATCATATTATCACTAGCGAACATCACAAAAATTAGCATTAGCTCCCTTTTGCATAAATTATGACAATTTCAACAAAAAACACACCTCCTGCTCTTTATTATTTAGTTCCACCTAGTACGTAACCCTTTAAAATGACAAAAAATGTTCAGATGGTATTTTGCTTAAATTTTTTTCGTCGTTGAAATCTGAAAATAATGCATGATTTGTACTGATGACTTTTGTCACAGTTCATGGGGAGTTTCAAATTAGTGATAATGGTCGATAAAAAAAATTAGCCTTTTGAAATGCTACGCGACTGTGTAATTTTAAGACGGACACAAACATTAAGGAAAATACCGAGGCATCCAGCCCAAAATGTATGAATGTAACGCAAAAGTGTATATCTGACCCACACAAAAACTGGCTAAAGGCAAATCATCATTAGGTAAAGTGTGTGACACATTCATCGTAAAATATGGGTCGCTGACAAATGCAAGTCAGCCACAGCTTGAACAAAACCTTGACAGTTCCTTTCTGTTGATTCATATTCTTTCTGTTGATTTATTTATTCGATTAGCTCTCACGATCCCGTAACAATACTTAAAAGTAAAAAAATGAAATAAAATAAAAACAAAACAAACAAGTTAAAGCAACAAATTTAACATTTCACGCATGAAACACAGGCATTGGGTAGTGAATAGATCACATATGCTCGCGCCAGATATCAATTAGTTAAAAGACTGCAAGGAAAAACCTCTCTTCCTCTACGGTAACTTTTGAGGTGAGCAATGAAACTTCCACTCTGGTGCATACGACAAAGCAGCGATCTATTTCAGTGACCAACACGAACGCTCTTGTTATGCCTCTGAGATACATTTAGATGAACTAATTTTTTTTGCTCCGAGACATACGGCACTAAAAATGTTGTACGGGAAAGCAGAGCTATCATGCCTTCTTACCTGAAGGGGATGCTGACTTTCTTTCATCTTTCAATTCTATGCGGAACACCATCAACTGATGGTCCAGTTCGAGCAGACGGTCGTTTGTAGCTTCATATTTCAGCCACAGATATCCGCAGACGAAAATTAAGATTAACGATACATACGATGGCCTAATCGAAGGGAGAAAATCGCAGACTCGCCGAGGCGAAGATTTCGAGGCGCGCTTGGGACTCACTTCTGCAGCTTCACTGTCGTTCATTGCGAGGGTAAGACAACTGTTCAGGGAACACTGTCAACCGAGTTTAAACCATTCAACCCAGGAGCGGTTTATATAAGGCAGATTTATTTATATCATGTGTCAACTGATAGGACGTATGATCAGGAGAGCAGAATTTGCTCAATTAGGTTTTTATCGCCTCGCAATAATCGGTCACACGCGGTGCATTTACGTGATTGAAAAATAAGCATACGCATGCAAAACCGTTTTGAAAGTTAAACCTCGCAAATGTGATACCTGACATAAGTTGACCTCTACGTTCGTCCGTTTAGAAAAGTTCCGTGTAGAAAGATATTCATTATCTTGCATTTTCTTTGGGCATTAAAAATTTGTTAAGGGAATTATCACGAGGGAAAAAAGGCCACTTCATTCCGTTGGGCCTTTGGAAAAATCGTGCTGAACTCACAACAGCCCTCAAGCACGAACCTAAAATATGCAGAGTACAAAGGCAATAAATTGGCGCTCATGACCTTGGTAAGGTTGCATGTTCGGGCCTGTTGATTTTCTTTCCTCATTGCTGACAACAAGCTTTCATTCATTAGACATGACGTAAAAAGGAAAATTAACGATGTCTGTTTTCGTTTACTTTCTATCATCAGGTCACGGTTATCGAAGCAGTGGATATTTTTTATCCAGTGAACATATACCACAAACCCTTGTATGCTGTGAATAAATATAAGCAATCTAACGCTTTTTATTCAGAATTACTCAAACTTTGTATAACTAACGGAGCTGGTAAGTTGTNCAATTCAACCGAAAATACCGGAAACTCCGGGAGGAAAATCAATTGAATTGAAATTCACAGTAAGAAATTTTCGAAAATCTGGGTATTGCTCGGACACTTTCCATTTCACTAAAAATTCCGGAACTATCGAAAGAAAAACAAATGGTACGAAAAAAGCCTTGGAAAAGTTTCCGGAAAATCCGAAAATTGCTGATATTCTGAAATGTGAACCATTCAACCGAAAATTCGGGCAATACCGGGAGAAAATCAATGGAACGAAAATTCCCGGGAAGAATTTTCCAAAACTTTTGGTATGCCTCGCGAGGTTGACCTCTTTTCCGGAAAATCCGAAAATTGCTGAATTTTTGAAATGTGAATCATTCGTCTCTGAAAATTTCCGATGTCTGAACCGGAAGTTTGTTTTATCATCCTTGTTTAGTATTGGTTTATCATTTCTTCGTTGCTCTTTTATACCTTACAAATTGTTACTTTAAGACTCAGAAAGAAAAAACAGACTTGAAATATCTTGATTGAGCTCCAGTAAAAGATGAAACGACGTTCCTGTACAATATTTTCTCGATTACAATAACTCCTGATGTAGAAAGATGTGACAAGCTTATTCTGTACGCCCCATTCTTGAATCGTTGTAAAAAAAACATAAGCACTTTCTGTAAACTTTATCGAGGAATGTAAAAAGACAATGTGAAAAACAATGAATATGTATGTACATTTCATATACTTCCTTCATAGTTTAATATCAGCAAACCTTTAATTACATGTAAAATTCTTGTTTAATAGCCCTTAAAACCAAGAATTTTGATCAAGTCGTTAAAAGCATTCTATTAAGATAAAATCAATTGCTAAAACTCCGTTTCTGTGCAATTTAAAGCGTATTGAATTCCGTTAATCGAGAATTTTCACGAATATCTAATTAACAACGTTCATCAATAATTTTTTTCGTATGATACACGATTATTGTAATTTGTTCTGATCAAAGCTACAGTCTTATTCTCAAAAGGCAGTGTACGTCTACGGACCTTGTCAGATTGTTTACGTCATCTGACAATAAGAATCATCACACATACACTTTTCACACATGCGCAGTTCAAATCAAGAGGGGAGTTAGGCCACCTTCTCCTAAGGTAATCCCTCTCAAGTTACATTTGGACATGGTACCCAGTCCTCTAGCGTATACCACGCGCTTTGCGTGGATGTTTTCATGGAAATGTAGCAAGGGTTTACGAAAATGCTACTTGGCCTGTCCACGTGAGAAAAAACCGCGTCACAAGATTGGCTATTTCTAGACCTTCGTAGGATTTTAGCAAACCGGGAGTGTTCAAACTGACTTGAAAGGGACTGTCTTGGGAATGAGGCCTTCATGAGAGATTAACAACTCTCATACTCCACATCCTCTCTTGGTTCAAATGCACTTTTCTGTTATAGCGAGTATTCTCTATCGAGCAGTTCTAGTCTCTGAAAGCCGCCCGCTCTCAGTCTCTTAAATCTTGCCAACCGTAGACTTGCGTTGCTATGTTTTCCATATATAAAAGCCATATCTACACCCAATATGATTTCAATCCTCCCGCTGCATTTCCATCTACGTATCTGCCATTGGCGCCACACTGTGTTAACTGCCTCCCCCGGATCGACGACCGCTTGGTTACTAGCGGCAGCAACCTGGCTGGATATCCAGATGATCCAGCCGGGGGGACGATGTACTCACCGCGCTTGCTATGAGTTCGAATGCACATTATGACGCGAGGGAGGGCAAACTTCATTGAAAGTAGAATGATGACAACTAACGCGGCAGAGATCATAACTATCGCTATTGTAGATATTTCACTCGCTGAATCTTCCAAGCTCTTTTCCGGATCTAGAGGAGTTGTTTGTCTTGTTTCTTTAACTTTTCCGGAGGCGGGTGTTGTGGTGACCTCAGTGAATGATAAAGAGGCATTCGCGCATTCCCGTTCTCCCTCAATTGGACACAAGCTCTTTGTGGTCGACGGAGTTGGGGTGGTAGTTGTTGAGGCAGTACGAGCTGAGGATGGTGTGGACGGCCCTGCCTTTGGACAAGCTTTCTTTAATCGAGTCATGTCGATCGAAGGATCGCTCTTCTTGGGAATCTTTTTCTCCTTTATAGTTCCCCAGCATTCCAATGGTCCGAGTGTAAAATCCGATTTTGCACTTTTCTTGTTAAATTCCAGTCCAGTAACAGGCAAGGCGCTTTTATCAGTCAAATATCCTTCGTCTACTCTCCATTGACTATCCTTGTTATCACAGTTGCAAAACTTCGCCGTGCCTTCGCAAGACGTTGGCTCCATCATTCCGCATGCGCATTTTTTACTTCCGGGTTCAGCTCCGCCCCAATAATCCTGTCTCTCGCCGTCACGTGCCAACCAGAAAGCGTGTGAAGGTCCGCGAGGCGTGTTAAGTAATTTTGAACTGAAGCAATGAAATCTGATATGCTGGCGGCATTCTTTACTGTTTTCTATCAACTTTATAATTTGTTGCATACTGATCGAGTTCGAGTAAGTTATTTCGTGTTTATAAAGCGTCCCGACGATATTTGCCTCGCTAACTCGGATCTTGGTCATTTTGTTGTGGTTTATAATGGTGTACGTTCGTTTGAGATCGTCCGTTACGTTACATAACGCCGTATAGGGATCTCCATCTCCTACAGAATCTACCAAGCAGCGCATACTCGTCTTCAGTCCCATAGCCCTGTAATATTCACAAGCCGGCTTGTATTTCGAAATCTCGCATGTGTCGCCTTCGAACTGAGTGTGTTCACAGTCGCAATAAAACCGTTGCCAGTTCTGCGAGCAGTGGCCACCATTTTTGCACGGATTGGGCTGGCAACGATTCTCCAAACGACAGGCGTACTTTAAATCCTCATTAGTGTGTTTACTCTTCTTGAGATTCCTCAGGATAATCTTCTGGCTGTCAATTTGCAGGTTTAAAATGCAGCCCACAAAGCCAGGAAAGTCTCTGTTGTCGTCAAAACCGCCCAGGAAGATCTTTAAACGAGATCTATTAGCAAACTCCTGCATCAACAAGGAGTGATTCAACGGTTTCGTTCTGGTTCGTCCGTCCAACTGCAGACGAACTTCTCGCCCTCTAACACTGGCGTTCACGTTATGCCATTCACCATCATCAAGATTAGAACCCAGGCTCAGCACGGTCTTTGATCCGTTAGGAGCTGTGACGTCATAAAGTAAACTTCCAGCCGAGAGGCGGAGGTGAAGCTTGACTTTGACTGCGCTCCGCGATAACAGAAGACCCTCTTCGACGTGTGAACGGAATCGAAAACTGGCGTAAAACGTGTCGTTATCCGCTGGCAACTTCTTGACAGTCACTCGAAAGCCAACATTTGGATTGGACATAGTGACAACTCTGTAGTCGAGCTCCTCGCATTTGAACGACACTTTTCCGTTCGCATCGTAGCCAAGGAGTTCACCTTTTGCCCCTGAGATTAGATTTTTACCACGGAATATCAAATCTTCCAGACATCCTCGAAAATTTCGTGTCCCTCTCACGTGGTAATGCCTGTACGTGGCGGACTTCATGCCACCGATATACACGATGTCTAAATTAAGATCCTGGTACGCTTCAGGAATGATACCCGAAGAACTAACAGAATCTACCTTCAGTTTTGCTTCTCGACCGTCCTGTGTCAAAGTCACGTTGTGCCAGCGGCCGTCGTTCAAGTCTTTTTTTGGATTTTTTATCTTCAGCGTTCCAAGTAGGTGATCTCCTCCGAGATACGCTTGGTAACTACAGGACAAAAATTAGAAATCAATTAGGGGGGAGTATATGGTTGAATTATTATGAAATTAGCAGAAAGTACAAGGAGGAATGATCTTAAAACGATTTTAAAAGGAGTTAAAAGATAATCTGCAATTTGCCATTAGGAATTAACTTGCGCAAAGAAATTAAATCAATGCGGCAGCTGGACAAAATTGTGGCCAAGGCCATTGTAAAAAGCTGGGTTTTTTTGTGTTGTCCAGTACAGTTGCATTTGCTAAAGCTGACGCAATGGAGGCCACAGAAAGAGTCCGCATTAACGGGGTGTCTCGGTTAACCCAAACCAGCGGTCCATATCACCCGTGTTAAGCCTATGTCCGCAAAGAGAAATTTCAGAGAGCGCATTTTTGAAAAACAAGGATGAGCTATAGATGTAGCCATGAAGAAACGGTTGGCTAGAAGCACAGAAAATGACCGGTCCTTAGCGCTCTACTTCCTTAGTTTTGCAATAGATGAACTAGAAAAAGCCTGGGGATCTACTGCCTCGCAGAAAGTAATTTCGCCCAATAGAGGGACATTTAAAAAGCAGATAACCCGGCGAACGTTACAGTTTCATTGAATAATTCCGAGTGTCCAGAAGTTCTGAGTTTAATGAAATTTAATACGTTCTGCCTTGAAACATATTTTTCTTAATGTTTGGTTGTGGAATGAATGAGCTTGAACTGGCGACGTGATCACCTGAATTTAAATTTAAATTCAGGAACGTTCAAGTTTTATACGAACACTGATACGATACAATTATTTTGTTTTTCATAAGAAACCAGCAGAAAAACTCAATTCCTTTCGAGGCAGAGAAATACAATGATTGCCTTTCTCTTTCAAACTTCCTCTTTCGAGCTTTTTCCATATAGATCTACTCGATTTCTTGCGACACACAGAGTGCAATTTTTTGTCTAGGGTTTAACGTCTTCTGGGAAAATAGTTGGAGCGAATATTATTTTAATTTCGATAGAAGTCCCGCTAATTTATTGTACTGCTTCGTCATAGTTGGTGGCCAGGGCAAAATATTTATAATTATACTAGACAGTACTTGACCGAAAAAGAGAAATCATTGTAAACATATCTTGATCGTAAAAACCCACGAATTTTGCATCGATGACCAAGATAACAAGATTTAGAAATTTAAAACAAGATTTCTAATAGCTTCTTCATGAATCATACAATTTTTTGATTTACCATTTTTCTAAATCGATACATATTCTAAAGGTGAAATTTTTGTTTAAAACTAAATTACTTTGACAGTCTATTTTTAACAATCAAAATAAATATCGCTTTGTTTTGTTCGGCGCTTATTTTAGGAACGGGAAATTGTGCGCGACGAAGAAAATTACATTTATTTCATATTTTTTACAGTGTTGCTTATAGCCTTTTTGGAATTAACTTTCGCAGCATGAGAAATTTGAGTTTCAGCACATTTACAGAGTGAATCAGTTCCATTTGAACTAAACGTACGAGTGACGTATTTCCTATTTCTTTCCAAAAGAACTTTGGAAAGTTGTATGGATTCAAAACCGAAGCTGGAGCGTATCTCCAACAAAACTAGCCTCCGTGTGAAGATGTCAAGGCCATCCATTATCACAATCTATCAAGCTGTAAATTGACGTGGTAAAATGAAATCCTTACCCATTTCACTTTGTTTGCATTTTGTACGGGAAGAAAGTGATGTCTAACTGTTTACAATTTCACAGAACACTCCCATTCACTTCAACTTGTTAAAAATAACAACAACCTTACCGCACTTGACCGTGGTGGATGTCGAGCTGCAGAAAATCGTCGAGTTGCATGAAATCATTGTTCCCCGAGCGCGTGCTGTACACGAGAAGACCATTTGTGTGAATAGTTCGAAATCGCAGCTTAATCACCGTCTGTCGAGGATCCCCGGCTTTTCTTGGCTCGTAGATAATAAATTCTTCGCCAGTGAGACGAACTTGATCTCCAGATACATTTGTCGAGGTGAGACTGAAGAAAACCAGTAAAATCCCCATTTCGCGCGGGAAACCCATCGCGCCTTTGCAAAAGCGACGCTGGGTGACGCCTCAAAGAAAGAGAACAGTTGTGGATTTGAAGTGAGTAATTACAAGCGAACAAACTTTAGTTCGCCGCTGCGGGCGCTCCGTACCCCTTGAATCATGCTGATTTGCATGAGAGAATAAAGCACAATGCAGCGAGTCTTCCCCGCAAGAGGAATCTACCTGTTTTGGTCGCTGAACTACAGCCGAACAGAAGATTTGGTTAGAAGGGGTTTGGAAATTATCAATCAGCCAATGAGATAATGGCGAGTTAATAAACACTAATTGTTTTATATTCGTTTGAGATCGCCAGGTGTTTTATTTGACACTTTCTCGACGAGCTGTGTGGATTTTCTTCCGCAGAATCAGTGCAATGAAAACAAGCTTAATAACCCTTGAAAAGTAAGAAGAATTGCAATACGTAATTAAAGGATTGTAGCATTCAAGAGTTGTTAAAACGAACTTGTGTCGATCTACAAAACTCCTAAACAATGATGGCTTCGGAAAGCGTCTTTAAATCGATACACATTAACTGATGGACTTCTTATGTAACCCGGAAGAAATGAATTTCATTTAAATCAAGACTGGGTCACTAATTAAAAAATCCCTATCTATTCCCGAGAGAAATGAGCTTTTACGATAAATCACTCTCCCATACGTGCCGCATTGGTTTTCTACCACTTGACACCAAGTTTGCCATAGGGAGGCCGGGATCTCTTTAACTTTAATCACAGTACACGGGAAGCGATCTGAACTCGGTGTTATCAAATGCGCTCCATTCTACGTTTCTAACTGGCTCTTTATACCAGCAAATGATCATGGACGTCCCTGGAGGTGTTCCAAATCAAAAGGAACCCTTGGAAGCTTCAACGCACGGGCTTTATTCTCCTGTCGCGTGGATGTAGAATTTCTGTGGCTTTCCTTGTCACTTCAAGGTTTATTATTCCTTTGACTAGCCGGCCTGCATTTTAAATATTTTATGCCAGAATTTATCTTCATTTAATAGAAAGACTATTGAATAATGTACCTTCGGTGATAACATCTTGTCACAAAATTCCCTGAAAGGAAAAAAGTTCAAAAATGGTGAACCTGATCTATTTGCACCGTTAACTACATTTAAAATTTATTAGCATGTCGTCAAGTTTCTAAGCAATCTTAAAAGCATGTCTGTCTTTAGATCGCAAAATAGCTTTGATTTTGAGCTTTTTATTTCACACATGAGTTTATCTTTCTTCTCCTCAGGAAGTCTGCCATGCTTGGGTTTCTCGTACTTTCTTCAGATCAAGTAAAAACAACAAGTCGGAGTGAAATTTATAATGCTGAGAAATTTTGACAATTTTTTTTTTTTTTTAATCATTTTGGACACTTTCGCCGGACAATGTTGTTTGAATACATTCTCTTCTCGGTTCATCAGTTGCAAATTGACTGTGAATCTGAATTACTCTTATTTTGATTTTCAAAATGTTTTACTCGTTTGGGGTTAATCTTGGAAGGGAAATTGCGATTATAATGTTACAAAATTGTCATTCTAACAACCAGCAAAAATCGCGAACGACTCAACAACTTGGAACATTATATTACAATGTATCGCTAGCCGGGAAATATCAGGAGTAATTCAAGGTTAGCGACTTGGAAATATGTCTTTAAAATAAGCTCTTTTACTAATGTGAAGTGCATAATCTTATTCTTAGTTTTGCTCATTACATTTCACCTTTAAGCAGTTGCATTTTACTCGTAAAATATTTTCCACCATCTTCTCTGATAAATCTCTCTTGTTCAGGACTAAGAGATTAAACTATCTGCAATATCTAGGGCAATCTCACGTAGCGGGCAAGGTCTCAGAAAAACTACTCTCGTGTAAATTAGAATACAATCAGAGTACAATAACTCAAAACGATGATGAAACTAAATTACACGAAAATTAAATTACCCCGCTGATAACCATATTGTGATAGTTGATCTTTGATAGTGAAACCAAAAGCCTTGAATTTTAGGGGAGTGAAAAACCATTCACTTTATGTGAGATGTCAGAAATATAATTACATAAAATTACCACGTATATGCCCGAGTCTAATAACATGATTTTTGAGAACTTTTCATTTTAACACAAAGTCTGGGGAGTTAAAAAAGTGAAGAGCTATTTGCGACGAGTTTATGTCAGGTTTGTGAGCAGCACTAATTAATCTTCGTAGGAGGTTTTCTCACTTCATATCTGAATATTTTTTTTTTCTTTTTTCGTGCCACTTATTTTACAGTGTGCTCGATAACAGCTTAATGGCTCGTAACACTGAATGGTGAACCGATTTAAAACATCAACAGCCAAGGGCTGAAAATGCATATGAGCTACATGCTTATCAATTCCTCGGCGTGTGGTTATGACGTAATTATGATAACGATGATAAAAAAAACCCGCTTGCGTCAAGTGAAAATAGAAAGTAAAATTGATTTTCGCGGGATTGTGTGGAAAATAGTTTCGTTATCGACGTTTACGGTGAAAAATTAAACGCGATAGCAAAGTATTGAATAAGATTGAAAATAAAATATTTCAAAAACTGGTTCGTTTTAAAATGTTTGCAACGACGGTCATACATGTTCAAAAACAAAAACGACGGTCATATAATTAGAGAGGTGGGGGGAGATACCCTTAAACACGAAAGCGCGTTATAAAAGGGCATAAGTTCCTCCCCCTAACTTTGAATTCACCCAAAAAAATCAAGCTGGGAGACGGTGAAGAGAACAACAACAAACGCTTAGTATTTGTTTAATCGTCAAAGCAATAAAACCTAACCAGAAACGGTCAGAAAATATCATTATAATTACTTTTCTGTAGGTTATTTTGTCTGGAGTAAAATATCTCCTCGCTTCGTATGAAAAACGTTTTTCGTTCTTTTGGTCAAATTGAACCAAGCCAACCGATAAGCTCCTCGATTTAAGATTCGCCCAATAAAATAGTGATCTGTGAAGTACTAATTTTTCTCAGATAAAGATACTTTCATTTTACTGCAAGTAAAGACAACGAAGACACTTAATTCACTTGCAGCTTACCTTTCGTGTATTCAAATCGCCCGCCATTTTGAATTTGCCCGCGCACGTCAACGGTGACTGACAAATGAGACTTGGATCTTCACAGGGAAGACTTCCTTATATAGCGCGTCTTCTTGTTTAATATGTTGGTTGTCGAGCTCTTTTAACATGAACTTCTGCCTCAGGAGATTAGGCGACCACCGCTCCCTTACCGGCGCGGTACGCCCCTGATCGTAAGCGATTAATCTAATTGTTTCAGTATAACCCTACAAGCCGTTCAAAACTTTATCTAATCCTCTTCACAGTAGCCTGCGAACAGTACAGGCTCCCGGCAAGGACGGAAAAAAACTTCGGCGAGCAAAGCGAGCGGACGAGCGCTAAACTGAAGAATTCGGAGAGCGAAGCGATCGGAGCGGGACGTTTCGTTTCGTTCGGGCTCGACGGGAGCCTCTACGCAGGTTATCTTCACAGACATATTTGATTTTGTAGTACAGCCACAATTTTTTTTAACCCCTCAGTGCTCTAGGAAGTTTTTTTCTCGGGACGTGGGTATGCATGATATTTCCTCTCCGTGTAATGACCTGTAACATGCATGTTTTTTCGGCTCACAGAACGAGCGTGAATTTCTTTACGGTAGTAGTCATGTGCAAAGTTTTTCGGGGGATACAATTACGCTTGCAGGATATTTAGTTTTAGTAAAAATCTACTAGCATTCTATCACGAATCCTGTTCTCTGATTGGCTACGCTACTCACTATCTATTCTGTGATAGAGAGTGAGTAGCGTAGCAGTGTGCGCTTGCAACAAAATGACGGCCGCTTCTGGGCATTTTCAAAGTGTCTGTGAAGATGATGTAGATAAGTTTTGAACGACTAGTTGATATATACTAAAACAATTAGATTATTTGCTCTCGATTTCTATGCGTGTTAGTTCGCCACTAAATATTCTCCGATTCGTATTGGTTTAAATTGATCACGTGACGCGATAGTGTTTATCCGCGGAGAGACACTATCAGCCCACAGTGCTCGTCCGAGGAAAATACCCGGATGGTTAGTACTCGTCCGTGAAAATTTTTCTGTAAACAAGCGTGATTATAGAAAATAAACACTTGAAATTATCAAGTGAGTTTTTGTCAATTTCCTTTTTCAATTTCACATTTGGCTGTCACGGCTTTCATTTAAAAAAAGTTGAAAATAATTCAAGATGATTTTTGAACTGGCGAGCGGAAGAAAATTTAGTGGTGAACGATAAAGACAATAGAGTGTTTATGTCTCGGAACTATAGGTCTGATAGTTGCCCCTTGGAAATTTGAGGTTCTTAAAACTGGCATATTTGCCCTCGAAGCTTCGAATATTTGTTTTAAGAACACCAAATTTCCGCTGGGCAACTATCAGCCGATAGTTCCTCGAGGCAAACACTCTATTGTTTAAATAGAAATCTAATTGCTTAATATAATCTTTCAAACTCACCCCAAGCCCCATCCCCCTCAAAAGTCAAATTGTCCACCCTTATTTGCAGGGGATGTACAATGATTTATAACGTACGTACACAGCCATTGTTCTGCGCATTAACCTTTTGGTTTGGTGACGTTCTTACTACCGTTGTCGTCGCGGTTTCATCTCGTTCCAAGTCTTATTCGTCTTGAAGTTGAAGAGATCTGGGAACGAAATCCCGCGAGGCGGTCACAATAGATCCGTCAAATAAGTCTCAAAATTTGGGGTTGACGCTAAGTACTTGCCTGGTTTTGTTCGCACCTGATAACATTTCTGTAACAGGCCATTTACATGATCCTCGCTGGCGGATTGTGACAGTAGGTTCACACTAGGTAGAAAATAATGAGGAAATGCACGGGTAGCCAGGCCGATACTGATTGCGTCTATAACAGCTAAAAGAAGCTCGGGTAGATTCTCTTCAGTCCAGTAACCCGGAGGGACATGGTCCATCGTGTAGAACAGAATAGTTTTCAGATTGTAAGAGGTGATGAATTTGGGTTGCGAGAGATGGGCTTTCAATATAGCTTTTAACACTAACCAGCATTTTCGTACCAGTGGTTGAGTCTCAATGATGTAATCTGCAAGGATAAGTTCAGCCCTTGATGTCGAAAGACGCCAACTATGTGGGATTGAGTCAATGGATTTAGCGACCAAATGGGCGGACATACGAACAAGCTCTTTTTCTACGTCGTTTGAGGGCCACTTCCGCTTTCTGGAAGTCCAGCTATCATAGGTATTGAAAATATCTGCAGCTGTAACGCAGATGACCAGGTCGATACTCCAATTGTTAATACAGTTGTATCCCGCTTTGCGCAGCGTGACACCCTGCCAGTCTTCCGGGTATGGAGACTGCATTTCAAGAGGTAGCTTTGCAATGTCAAATTGCAGTGTCAAAGCTGGTCCATTTCTACTGATGGCAATACAACCTGGCACAAATCCCTCCTCTCTCTCCATCATTTCATTCATGACTGTAACCCCAGCTTCCTCAAACGACTGCATGATTTTGTCTGCATCTAACAAATGATTTCCATCTCTAAAGACACAACAATCCTGCCATCTTTTAAGGCTATCGCCACTGAGAACAACATGCTTAAAAGCTTCTTGTTTCTCTTTGCCTGAAATTACACAATCAACTAAAGACACACCCTCAGAATGTGCCCCCAAGTCACGCAACACAAGCATGAAATCAAACTCATGTTCGATATAATTCTGGAAATTTGTCTTCTGGCTAATGACAGAATGTTCTTTGAAGCTTCCAGTTGGGATAACCTCTTCAAAATCAAACCTGGAATCTACTTCACCGATACGTGGTAGAATTTCTTCTGTGACAAAAGTATTGAACTGTTCAAGTTTATCTGTTACTATTTGTGACTCGTTATATATTCGGTCTGCCTGGTAATGGGCCATCAGGTCTGATAGATCTCTGTATGGTACACCAGATAGCACATCAACCCTTTCCTGGGGGCTGTTTTCACTTTTACTGTTAGCCATGAAATTGTCTTTCTAATGATGTCTTACCTATTGACATGAGCAAAACATACATTTTATTTTAGACTGAACGGTATTTTGGTGCTGAAATTGTTGGCCTTGAAAAACTTGCCCATATAGCATGGGAAAATGATAAAACCTTACATGGCGCATGAGTGCAGGTGAGTTGGTCAGGGCCCCCGTGGGTGTCTCGCGTCCAAGCGATGTAGCGCGTCCGGTTTAAGCGGTAGATACCTAAACCCCAATATCAAATTAAAGCTTATAGGGCTGGCTATCAAACTATACCAAGAATTTTAAAATGAAATGAATTGCCGATTTTTTCAGGACCACTAAACACGAGCGCCCTAATCACCTTTTGGAAGCTACAAGTCAAAGCGAAGTTTGTTTTTCGCCAATTTATTTTTTTCCCCGGTTTAAGGACAAAAAGCGCCAAAAAAGCGTGTCTGCGTTTTGCCATATTCAATTGTAGTAAAAAGTTACAGAACATTTTCGAAATAGGATTTAAAAAATGTGAAGTGGTCGTACAAAAATCGCTCTCGGAGAAAACATATTTCGAAATAAACAATTCGCAGACACGTCTTTGTTTATTATGTTAATCTAGCTACTGTCCAAATTTGAGGGCAATCGAAGAAATTCCCTTTGAGTTGTAACTCTTTAAAGTGTCTGCTTCAAGCGAAAAAATTTAATCGAGAAAACAGCGCTAGGAAAAATCTCTTGCTTCGCAAACAAACTTCACCCACAAACGCCTTCAACTGGGTTCTCAGATCACTGAGCCAATCAGCGTTTGGAAAGTTTTTTTCTCGAGAAGAGAAGAGTCACTGTAAAAATCGATGTTATCGCTGTCAAGTTCCCAAATTTTTACAGAACCTTTCTCTTCTCTTGACTCGATCTTTTTGCCCGCTTGATACGATAGCCACAGCTTCATCCGCGAGGACATTTTTCCCTTCTTCAAACTCCGAGATGTACTTTCATTCGTTCTTCGCTGTTTTCGCTTTTTGGAACTGGTCCACGGAGTTTTCCGTGGTCCATGTTTACTTATAACTTAATAGAACTACACCTAATACGAAAAATGCTTGGATTCACAATGCTGATCAACTGAGTGAAGGTGAGTAGCCAGCCAATTCGTGGTATCCATATAGGTGATATTCCCGCGAAAGTCGTCTCGGTTGATTGCATACGCGTTTTTGGGCTGTCAATCAAGAGGGAACTTTTAATTCCTGCCATAACGTAAAACCTCCATTTCGCCGCCAATATTTCGTTTTTTTCATTTTTTTTTTTTTTCAGAAATTAGAAATTACTCTTCGACCATTACTTTGACCCAAAAATCCAAATGTGAAGAAAATTGCCGATCTGAAGGTATACGGTAACCTTAACTGACGCTTTCAGAATTTTAAAACTATAGCGATTAAGACTCAACACTCTAAAAGGTACTACAAACGCTCTTGCTGTGCGACTGCACACCCTTTGAGGCTGAACACCCTCAGAGGTACCAAAACCGCTTTTTCAACCCCTAAAAGGTACGACGAGCAGCTCCATCCTTTTTATATGGTGGTCCTCCACCCAGGAGTCAGGATAATTTTGTTTACTTCACTATTATGATGTCTCTTTCTATTCAGGAGTATACATGAGTACCAATGCACTAAAGGGGAGGGGCCTGGGGAGCCTGCCCCCCCCTCCCCCTCCCCCTTATTTTGGGTAAAAAAGAAAAAATCACAGAAGGAAGAAAAGCCGGCAGGGCAAGCAAAACAACCCCCACCCCTCCCCTTCTTAGCTCAAGCTCGNCCCCCCCCCCCCCCCAGCCCACTTAGCTCAAGGTCTGGATCTGCCACTGGAGGGTAACCCTATGATGTATTAGCATCTCGTCCATAGCTGAGGGAGAGTAAAAATACCCCTATTCACTTAGTGCTTCGCAAACCAGAAAATAAGCATTGGCCTGATTAAGCCTACTCTGCGTTTTTGTCTTTTTCGGGGAGGATGGCTTTGATAGAGGCTATGGCCTAATGGACCAGTAGGCTCAAATGCAGACTTTACCTGGCCCTACATTGAAGTAGTTTTGTTCTGAAGGCCAAACAATTTCAGTACATAAAAAAAGAAAATAAACAGATATAAAGAGGATTATTATTGCTTAAAAAGTCAATGAGCTGTGATTATTTTGTAGGGTGGGGTGTTAATTTGAACCCATATCTAGCTCAGTCTGTTTGATAGAGAAATTATGAATAGAATAAAGGGCTGGGGTGATTACATCTGAAAACTTGTACCTGTACCAGTGTAAATGCATTATTTCAGACCATGTTTTATCAGATGTCTAATGTGGGTCACATGACACCATCTTGGCTTGGATGCCTAAACTAAACTAAACATGTGCTTAACAGTTCCAACCACCAGAAAACTGATTTTGTACCAGAACAAGGGGTCAATCTTTGTTTAATCTGATACCAGTGTGCGTTTTCGTACCCTACCTGGGCCCATGTCTTGAAAGTCCCAGAAACTTTTCAGGCCCGCAAAGCCATTTTTAGTTCATCTCTATCTAGAAACGGAGAAGTGCATACGCCTGAAACTTCTTGTATGATAAGAACCTCTGTTCATTTAAAAAATATGTGAATAAAACAGCTCTGTAAGCATAAGCTTCGAGATTTTGCTACGGCTTTCCGGGTGCGAAAAGTTTTCAGGACCTTCAAGAAATGGGCCCCTGGTAGAGCAGCCATAGTCAACTCACACTGGTATGTCTTGCCCTGGTATATGACATTTTGTATTAGTAGCATGTAAACGAACACAGAGCAGTAAGAGGGGCCAGGATGAACTCACACCAGTATTCATGAAAGTCATACTGACATCATGTTAAGAACTACTAAGGAAGATCAAGGAACAAACAGCAGGTGAACCTCATGGGGAGCAGTACACGTGTAAGCGTTGCCTCAAACTGGGTTTCAATGTAAAAGTCTTCATGCAAGCCAAGTGGCCCATCAGGCTAGAGCTTATCCTGGTTTCAGTAGCATGAAGCGACTAGGAGTATTTCTACTCTCCCTGGATGGGATGCTAGTCCATTGCAAGGTTACCCCCCAGCATTAAATTTGCCAGTACCTGGGTGGAGAGAGGCACTGCGAGAGTAAAGTGTCTTGCCCACGAACACAACACAATGTCTCTGGCCAGGGCTCGAACTCGGATCACTGGCTCCGGATTTGAGCTCACCAACCATGAGGTCACTGCGCCTCCCACAGGGTTTTAATGCAGCCAACTCCAAAAGAGGGTGAAGGGTAAGAGATTTTAGAGACCTTTAGATCCATGTTTACCGTGAATGTCAACCTGTGGTTTGAGGTTAGATATTTGTCATCTGCCGTTCAGATGTAAATCAATTTAGTTTGGAGTAAATTGGAGTGAATAGAAATCACCCTGTAAATGCAACAAATTGTCAAAATAATGCCAAGTTTGAAAAATAAAATGTTTTCTGGCGTGTGTAGCTTTCTAAAAGAATAAAGCATCACAAAACACACATTCAACTTAAGCCGCCGCCATATCGGATTTCCACTAAGGATCAGTGCCTTTCTACAAACAACAACAAAAGGCTGGGTAATTGCTTATTTGCCTGAAAAATTTATCCCATTTGTAGAAAAAGGGTTACTTAATTCAATTTCAGCATTTGTACAGGCATAAAATAAAGTTCAAGGCAATAAAGCTTGAGGTAAATGACTAACATGACATTTTCAAACACGACATCTCACTCTGGTCATGTGATCCCCAGCCTTTAGCCGCTCATGGGAAACATGAATCTTAAAGTCTCAAGATTTTATCTCCCACATAGGCCTTTAATTCTCTAGGTAATCCCTCTAAAGTTATTTCTAGATTTGGTATCCAGTCCTCTCACAAATAATCTTACCCCTTGGACTGTCCTAGTGAGTAACATCTGGGTCATAGGATTGATCACTTCAAGACCCTCAGGACTGAGATTCCTGAGGTCAGGAAAGAGATTATCCTGGGAATAAGTCCTGCATGGTGATAAGCTCTCTTACCCTCCCTTCCCTCTTGCCAACTCTTATAATGTCCACTACTTGATGTGTACTAAAAGCATCTGCAGTCAAGTGTCAATTGATACTCTCAATTGATACCCTCGATCGACATTTCAATCAATACTCAGTCAACATCCTGATCGATACTCGGTCGACACTCTATCAACACTTGATCATCAGTTGGTCCTTAGTCAGTGCTTAGAGGGTATCGATCAACACTCGACCGTGGATGTGTTTTGGAGGTCATTAAGGAAAGCTGGTACAAAAACTCACAACTTATCTGAAATAGAGTACTGATTTTGACAAATATTCAACTTACACCTGATAAAAAAGTAACCTTTTCCTACAATAAATAAACTATAATTGTATAATCTAATTAAATTAACATCAATTAACAACGATGGAGTACATGAACCAACAAGTTAATGAATAAATAAAGTTCGTTCTCAAATAAAGACACACTCAGTCATGTATTTTATCTTATTTATCTAAAGAATCTAGTAGTGTGACAGGGTGAAAATATCGACGTTTTGGCTATTAAAAGGAAGCATACTGTAAGTAACTCATTTTCAGATTGAAATCGAACTAGCTTTCAATATGCAGGGCTTATTAACTGGGGGAATGTTTCCAGATGCCAATGGCATGAAACTGGTTTAGATGATATTCCCTTACATTAGCCCCTATTGCATGCTAGATCCAGTCTAATATTGAGGATAAGACCAAGATATTAGTTACGTACACCAGTAAGTTTTGGGACCCTTTCTAAGTATGAGTTTTCTAAAGGTAATTAAGCTTGATTTAGGGTCCACTGTTCAAAGTCAAAATTGGTGGGGGAAGTCTGACTCAATTTTTGTGACCTATAGGATTATTACACAGAGCTATCCCTCTGCATTAAATTTGCCAGCATCCATTTATACACCTGGGTGGAGAGAGGCACTGTGAGAGGAAAGTGTCTAGCCCAAGAACACAACACGTTTATGTCCCCGACTAGGACTGGAACCCATACCGCTTAAGCCGGAGGTGAGTACACTAGCCATGAGGCTACCACGCCTCCATGACTACCTGTGCCTCACCTAAAGAGCCCTGGTCCCAAACCATAAACACTTTAATTTCAGATACTAGTTACTACCGCAAAATTGAGTCGGTGACAAGGACAAATATTATCATAGGACAGATTGAGATTATAAATAGGTTTCTGAGCAATAACATGAGTAACCATGAGCAAGTGGTTCATAGTTTTAAATCCGAGAGGTGCTCCCCCAATTTCTTGGTGGGGGTGCATGGCGTGTGTTATGCTTCTTAAAATCCTCAAGTGATTTAGAGATCAAAAAATCGATACACTATTTGAGTCCTCTGAAACTAGTGCAAGTCGCTGTGACATGAACTTCGGCGTAAACTGAGGATGGCGAAGGGCTTCAAATTCCCTGACCTGACGTTACTGGGGTAAAGTAATTATCTTTGTATGTTCATCCGATATTCACACAGCTGCAACATGTTTACCTTTATACAAGCACTTTGCTCCTTTGAACCTTTACTTTCTCTGCGACAAGAGAAAGCAGGGGAAGCCACAGCTATTGACTGGTCTTCTTTTCTTCAGCAGAACAAGGTGCCTCGGGTGCCTCGCTATTTTATGGTCTGGGGTGGACTGGGACCAGCTGTCCCGCGCGATCGACGCGTCGTCCTTAGTCAGAAGTATACAGCTGTTTCGACAAAGGTTGTCCCACAACAGCGAAAAATCGTACGCGACAATGCCGATTGGTATTGTGGGTAGAAAGAGTTTGACGTTGATTGATTGAGGTTCACGGTGTTTACCAACAAGGAAAGAGAATGCATAAATACATTTATTTGTGCTGTTTCCCTCTGTGTCTGAGAAACACCTAAAGCCTTAATCAAGGACCATGAACCCCCATTACCCATAATACCTTTCGGCATTGTCGTGTACGGTTTTGTTGGACAACCTTTCTCAAAACAGCTGTATAGCATATCTTCTGGTGCATCGAATAACGTCAACAACTTGCCAATCACATGCAAGAGAAATTTCCTCTCCATTTGCTCGTTTCTCTAGTTTTCAGTCTCCTCAAAGGAAATTCGAAAACCGAATTCGAAATCATAAAATAGTAAGCGCTTTCCCGTTCGGTGGGTTTGGTGATTTTACCAGAACCCTTACCATTATAGTCGGTTTTCCCATCCAGTTCCTTCCAACAAATGGTAAGTACACAGGACGTCTAACCCTCTAGGGGGCTCTCGAATGCAAGAATTTTAATGAGACGTAAACATCGGAAACGATAGAATTTTTATGACTTTGCCATCCGAGGTATTTTATTTTGTCACATATTTTATTATTCAAAATCCTATCTACCCCGAGCTCTTAGTAGATCTTCCCTTCCTCCAAAGCTGTGTGTTCTCTAGCAGTTTGACGTCACAGACATAGCTGCTACAATATATAACAATGGGTCTGTTTTTGCAATATAATGTCCGCTAAATCTGCATCATAAAAGTACAAAAAACTAACTTAGACAAACAGTGTCGCACGAATTGGGCTGGGCTGGTTTTCACTCCGATACTCGGAGACCCAGGAGCTGCTAGTCAGGACGATGCGATATTTTCGGGCGAAAGTTTACAACAAGAGCGGGATAGCCCCAGCTCTCCCGCCCGGCTCTCCTGCTTAAGTTTAAGTAACACACGAAGACGGACGCAGAAAGGTGCTGTTTCACATTCTTAAAGAGTAAACAAATTATACTTAATTCGATTGTTTGTTGTATATATCTATTTGTTGCATATTATTTACATATAGATCCTTTAGGGACCGTTCATTTTTTATGAGGTAGGGGGGG